GTACCAATTTTGGTACTAAAGTACCATAAGTGGCAACCGTGGTCAAATGTAAGCAATGTTCTCCAAATTTTTAACAGTTTGAGTAATACCTATAATGCTTAGACTCAGTAAGCTCTTAATATACGCTTTGAAACTGTAGAAATTGGTAACATTCAAACATATAGAAACTAATACTGGTGGTCAACGGCATTGATTGCTGTCGTATCAAAGTCGACTACATCACTATCAAATTCTATAAAGAGGGAGCTCAGCGATATTGATCACTATTTACATCAAAGCCTGTTACAACTCTGTAAGCTTCAAAGACTAAAAAATTAGCAGTTAACGGCACTAATTACTATTCAATGAAAATTTACTACACAGCTATTAAATTTAAGAACGGAACAACTAATACTTAAATTCAACGGTCATGTAACGGAATTCTCTCTCATAGAGCGCACATTATTTTGTGATAGGTGGCTCACAGTAACAGAAGAGTTATAAATCCGGATTGAACCAAAAAGTCCCAAGAGTGTAGTTGAAAAAATGAGTTTAACCTCAAAGGACTGGCAAATAATAAAGCTACCAAAGGGAAAAAATCAGACCTACAAAATAGAAGTTAAACTAATAAATAGTGCAAATAGCTACAAATGCTAAGAATAATTGGAAGCCTGAACATAAGTTATAAAACAAAAGAAAATGGCTTGAAATGCTACTATAAAAGGAGACTTGCCGAAGTAATGCGAAAGCAATTCCGGAGAGAAATAAATCTCTCCAAAGAAGAGATCTTTTTAGTCCATATACTTTATATTGCCATATAAGGAAGTCGGACTCACTATTTTAACAGTCAGTTTCTTGGTGACTAAAGAATTCCTACTTCTTTCCATGAAAAAAACCTATTCTCTGTCAACTGAAAAGACACGAAAGAGAAAGAATATACAATCATGGAAGGTGAGAAGGACATGCATATTTTTTTTCTTAATTTTACTCCTGCACATATTTTAAAAATATTTGTGCAGTTTGTCAAATTTTATCAATATTTATTTTATAAACAAGTCAATATTGTTTTTTATTAAATAACTTTGAAATATTTTTTATAAATTAACTATAAATTCTAAACCAAACGTATAAAAAAGAAAGAGCTCGGATTGTGTAGTTTCCTGACGCAACGCAGCTTTGTGCACTTTGCCACTTTGTAAATTCAATTACAAAAGTGCAATCTTCATAAATCCACTTAAGCGCACATCAAAAGCGAGAATAAATGTCATTTACACAACGCTTACTTACACAAAAGGACACAGGGCAATGTGCTCGATGCACCAAAAAACAGCAATGCCAACGCCAACAACAACAACGAGAGCAACTTGAACAAATACACAAACAATTTTGTGTAATGCTTTTGCGTTGTGTACATGGCGAGTGCAATTCAAGCGTTTAAAAAGTGATAACGTAAAATCCGCTTTACTGTAAAACTTATGAAAACAAAAACAAAACACCTACTAAAATAAAATAACAAAAACAAAAACCGAAAGAAAAATAAAAATAAATTTTTATTTATTTTTGTTTTTGTTTTACAGGCACATCAACGGCAACAACTTAGCCAAGAACAGCACCAAAAGCATAAACAACATTTTCAACTTTTTGCTAAAAGGTGTCAAAACTTTGCACGGTAAAGTGCAGTGACAAAAACAGCAACAGTAAAAAGAAATCAAAACAAAAAAAACACAAAAAAAATATTTTAAAAACTATAACAAAAGTTTTATACATTTTTTTAATTTGGAAATTTTACAAATAAACAACAACAATAGTAGAAAAAGTTCAAATCAAATTAAAAAAAAGAAGAGTTGGAATTTTGTACGCGGAAGTGATTTTTGTCGATATGCAAGTCTTTAAGAGGAGGGAAGAGAATGTCATCGCCGAAACTGAAAACAGTTTTACTCGAAATAGGAAATACAATAAAATTAATTAATTTATTTATTTTTTAATTTATTATTGATAAATCAAACATGTCAATATAAACAATATCGTAAAAATGAGGTACAATGAATAAAAAAAATGATATATTAAAAAAAAATATCAGCTGATGAGAATCAGAGTCTGTACTCCCATTCAAAAAGAGCTCTGTATTCTCAGCCAAATGAAAAGCATTCTCTTTTTTGAATAAGGGTCAAAAGTTTCCTCGTAGAGCTGTTGCTGATGTCAGATTTAGATCGGAATCTTCCCGACAAAAAAATCTACTTTTTTGTTTATTTTTTAACTGGTCATTTTTTTTATATATTAATTAAAAATCCTTTATTTGATGTTTTTTAATTAATTTTATATTTCTACTCTTAATCTAATCTTATAGCGTTTTCGATTGGTTATTCTGGATTCAATCTAGATTTATTATTGATCTGTCAAATTTTGTTACTCAATCGAATATTTTAAAAGTAATCTAACATTTTTATAGTAGTACATATATCATATACCATATATAGTATACATTTATCGAAACAAATCATACTGTCAAATCATATGTGTCAAATCATAGAAAATAGCTGTTAATTTCCGTGTAGTTCTGCTACTCTAGAAAAATATCTAGACTGTTATAACATAATCTCAAGTGTTATGTATTTCATTTAAGATTCAATCGAAATGGAAATTACACTAAAAGTGAATCTGGATTAAAAATGTTACTCCAAATTTACCAATCGAAAACGGCATTAATCTTTGCAAAACCGGGTAAAATTAAGCCAGTCCGGCTTAGTTTAATCACGTCGTTAAACAAAACATATTTCATGCTTTTTTAAGAAGTTTCTGTTGTTTGATTGAGATAAGAACTTTCGGCCCAGAGTTCTTCACTTAGCCATAAGCAAATTGGACTACCACAAAGAATATAGCTAAACATTTATTCGAAAAACCAATATTGTTAAGAAGTTAGAAACTGTTTAGAAGTTAGAACTAGTTTAAAAATGGCACAAACAAATTAAAAATAAAATAAAAGAATGACAGATTAAAATTTAATTGACAATACAAATCATATTGAAATGTGATTAGAGAACGAATAGAACTGGAATAGAAATAAAATACGAATTATATATAAATGATATATAAATAGAACTGAATCATATTTAGTTACATTTTCATATTTTTAAGAATAGAAATATGATTAATTTATATTCTTTTCTATTCTATTATCTATTATTAAGTAATAGTAGATATTATTATGGTTATGATAATAGAAGTGGAATAGAAAAGAGAATAAAAATAAATTAGAAACAAAACTGAAGTATACTATGATAATAGAAGTGGAATAGAAATATAAAAAAGAATAACAATAAAATAAAAATAAAACAAATCTAGACTAGGATTAGAATAACAATAGCAGAGAATTAGAATTATATTACAATACATCCAGAACAAAATAAATAAAATAATAATAATAAAAACAAAACAAATAAAAATGGAGAATAAATAGAAACATTCTACTAATGGAATGAGATATAAAGGCAAAATAGAATTAAACGTTCACAGAACAGGCATAGAACAAAAATGATATATATATTCCGTATATTAAAAATCCATTGGTTATCACCAAAGAAAATAAAAATTTCCGATATAGTACTATATTTCCTTAATAAATATGCTGCTAAAAAATTTTAACCTGATAGAAGGTAGTTGGCTTTAGTGATGGCAGAGTTTCTATTTCTGTCGATATAGTGTCTAAGCGCCATTTTGTTACCAAATCTTGAAACCAATTTGCAAAATTGATAAGTGCGTTTAGTTTTTGAGTATCAATGTTTGGAATATTCGCTAGGCTCCGTAGATTCCAGGATTAGATGTCTCAATCTTATTAAGACGGGCTAAACACAGGGAAGGAGTTTGCCATCTAGTGAAAAATATTATTTTGAGAGACTCCATAGCATTTATCAACCCTCTC